ACTCTGATTTTTGCATCTCACATTGTTTTTCATCATGGCGGGAAATACAACGTAAAATGTTTGTCTTCGAGTTCTTAAAAAAGAGAGTAAAAGCCGAAAAAAAATTGGCACTGTACTAGAAGGTGTTTTTCTTCCTGATTTTCCAGTTCATTGATTTTTACCCAGAAACCTGTTTGGGTTGGTCRCATGCTTCGAAGTCTGGTCGACGACAGCCTTTYATCAATCGACTATAAACTCACATGCTCATGGTTTACATGWATTTCATAATGAAATCATATATCCATTATTTATTATTTTATAAAGCTTTACAATGCCTTCCTGAATACAAAATTCAGTCCAAGATGTGCTTTCAAATACATTGCTGGTAAGCACATGACAGTGAGGCTTAGTGGATATATTTACATGTAAAGTAAATGAACATYAACTTTCATTTTGATATTTGTCACATTGCACGACTCATGGAATAGAAAAAGTCYAACTGAGAGTGGCCACCATATTGAAAAAATTCACTGATAAGCGTTGCAAATTGATGTGGACTAAGATCACAAGCCCTGATGTCTAGAGGCCAACCCAGGTATCTTACAATGTCATGCGTCCCAGGGCAAATTCCTTCCAGTGCTGTAACCAATGTYTGTTTTGGTTTTATCATTAGAAGTCTGATAAAATAACCAATGAATGACAAGCAATGATCAGGCACACTTATGTCAACACTCTTTTTGGGAGTTATACTAACTAAAGATAACTCTTTTGAACTGTCCTTTCGAAAGTATGGGTCAAATGAAGAGCATGGCTCACGGTGAACAATTTCAACATCACAAAATATTTCAGTCATGATTGACAGTCGATTGTAATACCGTGAACCAGGCCTTGCAAGCAGCCGTTCAAGTCTGTCKTGTGCATAGAAGAAGCTAAGTTGACAGCGGCCCATTTCAAATATACTTTCTTGTGTAGGTATACGAGCAAGATAGCTGATGAGAACTTTTGTGGTTGATGCTGTCGTTTTTCCTGAAATGCATAAGCCAAACTGGTGCTGAGTAATCTTATCAGTAGTGGGGGGCTAGTGGCAATCCCTGTAACTCCCCTTCCTAGCACATGAAATCAAAACTTACCTCCTTCTATTCCTACAAACTTGACGGGTAGTTCATCTGACTGCCAATTAATAGGCTCAAATCCCTTAAACAAGTCTTTTGATGAAATAGCTGGCTCTTTACAGCTCCTTGGCTTGTTGCTTTGACCATTTGGTACAAGATGTGGATCAATCTTTGCAAAATCTGCAAATCGTGCTTCAAAAACATTACATCCAACTTCATTTTGTAGTTCAATCAAACATGGAAGAAACTTTTTCTCCGGTTCAAGACCAATAACCTTCTTTGCACCATTCTTTATAAGTTCTCTCGTTAATAAACCTGGCCCTGGACTCGCTTCAATCACCAACTTTCCTTGAACGTCAAGTTTTTTAGCGACGTTTGCAGCCACGATCGAGTCTGTTATGTATTTGTAGTTCTTGACAGTATTGCTTCTTCGTCTCAAATTATACTTCACTATAAGCTCAGATCTATTAAAATAACTTCTTGAGGGTGGACTGAGTAGTTTTAGACGCAGTTTTGACAGTGTTACGACATTCCTCGTGTTAGCCGCCATCTTGAAATACTTCGGTGTATTGACACAGGAAACCCAAATATCACCAAATAACAATTAAAGCTTGTATTTCATACTGTTTCACTTTTTTGCATGACATAACAGGTAATATATGGTTTCGATAGGTAATTTTATAGCAATCTTCGTCTGCTATTTTATGACAGTTTTAATTAGACACTGAATTGTTAAAGATCATCTTTGGGTTTCCTGTGTAATCTCTTCTTATTCAAAATGGCGGACGACAGGGAAGTTTTGCGAGAGATTTGGGACGGCAGAATTCCTGTTTGTTTCAATCTAAGCTCAGAAGAAATAGCGACAGTGGAGCAACCAGAACCTTACTATGTAACTAAMGAATAATTGATTTGACTGAAATTATTTAAAGGTCTTATTTGAATCAAAACATAGACACTGACCTTCCTCATAAGGGTTGCAAGGAACATGATGATTATTACTTTTTTTCTATCAGTTATTAGTGCCTAGACTCAGCTACCTGATGCTAGTGACTGACAAGATTCAAAGACATTTCCAAAGAGCTGTCAATCAAGACAACGTTGATGAGATGTGGTTTGAATATGATGGTCAGCCTTTAAAGTGGTAAGATTAGTTAACATTTTAAAAGTGTTAAAAGAGCCTCCCTACAGTTAATGGAATCTGGAAAGTCAACATCAAAAACTGGAATGCAAATGTGGGTAGTATTGTGGTATACAGGAAACCACAGGGAAGTTATGCACTTGTCATATACATCGGGGTAAATATATGGAGTAAATTGGAGTGGATTAATTTCTTGCCCCATGAACCCTGGGAGAAATAAAAGGACATTGCAATCAAAGCATTTTTGGAGTAGGAGAACGAATAGATACAATGTAATACGACTAATGTTTGGCATACTTAGGGAGACAGTGGCTACAGAGCGGTCAAATATGTGTGTGTGTGTGTGGGGGGGGGGGGGGGGGAGGATCAGTGAGTGTCGAAGGTGTGATTTTTATAGGGGGTCCGGAGGCACACGAAGTTGACTCTTTAACGTTTCCAACTTGATGCCATCACAGTATAGTCGAGCTCTGATCATCGATTTTTTGAATTTTTCATTTTAATCTTACCGATTTCATTTATTATTAATTTTTCGGAAGCAAAAAGTGGYCCCTGAGAGATATACGCTAAGTTTGTATACGAATGTGGGATACCTGTGTTAACCTTCACGTGGCAAGAAARGTGGAGGACTGGGGAAGTACTGAAAGTGAGAGGTTTTGAACCATTGAAATCATAAGGCCATGGGAAGTCAAGTCATAGATTTGCGTCCAGAAATTTTTKAAAATAGATGTAGCTGTTTTTTATTATTCATTTTTTTTCTTAAAACTTCTTTAATTGATCTCAGATACTTTCTTAATAAATGTCATAACTATAAAAGCGATATAGAAATTTGCACTTTGTTTTATTTGCATAATGACATAGATCATATATATTTTTTAAGGTTTAAATAAATGACTTCCAGAAATAGAACAGTAAACTGTGAGTAAGCTACAGATATTAATTCTGGCACTCTATTATTTAAATTTAATGGCTAGATAACTAGTATAACTATCCAAGAGATTTTCTAAAGATTTTATTTATCAATAATGATTTTTTTTTTTTTACAAATAATGAACTTTTTATACGGGATCTCTTGGACCATGCGGGCGGTGGACGGAAATCTATGACTCCATTTCCCATGGCCTAAGGGTAAATCAAGCCATCCGCTATCCATCCTTTCATTAATGAGTGAATCTTTAAAGTCTTTTGCTTGAGATTAGAAGGCAAAGGAATATTTGGCATTTTAATCAATCTTTTATTTTCGTGTCAACATGAAGCATCAAATTTCTTTCAAAATCACTTGATATTAGATTTACTGATTGAGTTATCTTTCTTGTGTTTTGAATGGGTGGTAGCATTTTACATTTTGGGCTCGGGTACTGGGAACATACTTGGGGATTTTCTGGGAAAAGTTCCCCACATATGGAGAAAAATTATTAATTTAAATTGTCTCAACATTTGCGCGTGGTTCTCCACCTCGTGGAAGCCGATGACAAGTGCATTATTGTAATGCAAATTAATTCTGGCGATTATTCTAACACTCCGTTCTTATATAATTATTTAGTTCAATATTAGAACGATTTCACATAACCAGATATAAAATGCTAATAAGAATCAATTTTTGCTAATACACATTACACAATCAGAAAAGCTTGTATTAAATAAAATTGTTGTCCTGGTTTGCAAAAACTAGACACAAAAATGTTTTGATTGTTTTCGCGTAACGAAGTGTTATTCCTTAGTGTGCACATTGGAATGTTTGTAAAAGCAAACAAATGTTTTATTTGCGCAGTTTTGGCTGCTTATGTTGTCGTTTTGTTAAAGCTAAGGAGAATTAACTTCAGTGAGCTTGAGCGCAAGTTTGTCTTAGAGCACTGGAAAAAATCATTTACATCAAATTTACAAAATTTTGGACACTTACATCATATTTACATCAAATTTACAACCTTTAAAGCGTGCGATTTTTTCCAGTGAATGCTACTAAAAGTGCAAGGGGAATGACTGGGATAGGGTTGTTGYGCGATAGTCAACACTGACCTCTCAGATCGAGTTGTTCAGTTTTACTTTAAGAGTGGTAATGAGCAATTAATCAAGAGACTGAAAGGGATAATCAAAAAGACCTTATCTGATCCAGTACACACCACAGCACAGTGCAAATCAATTGGGTGTCGAAATTGTGGCAGAACGACCAGAACCAGAAGATCAATAATTCAACACAAGGSTTAGAAATGAAMTATRYAGGCAAGAMGACGCCTAAAGAGAGGAGAAAGGATGCCGTGAAGAAAAAGCTTAAATGTAATTTTAAATGTTTGTTATGATTTAATTGTTATGTAAAACATATCTGTAYGTCAAATAAGTAAAGCCTTCATYAWTATCCTCGTTGTTCCACATGTAAAATCGTGTAATGTGTATTAGCATAAATTGATCCTCATTAGCATTTTTTATCCGGTTATGTGAAATCGTTCTATTAATGATAAATTGCATGTTTATAAGTAATAGAAAAAAAGGAGTGCAACCAAGCAAAATCATCTCATGGTTTAATGGTTAGGGTTAGTGGTTGGATAGGGCTTGGTTTGCTGGTTTGAATCTTACCTGGATCAATTGTTTCGAGGAGAACCAAAATCCTTAAAACATTTCTAAGTCCCACTCATGTGTTTGGAAACCTACTGTATGACGTACTTGTTCAGACGCTAAACAAAGATTGATCCCTAATGGGGAATTACAGCAAAAATTATAGGGGTAGAGCTTGTGCTAATTATTTCTTCTGGTSTATAACAAAGAAAGAATGATTTTATTAAAAAAGCTTTCAAATGTCAACATAAGTTAATTTCTGAGTCATTTGTTTTGGAATTGTCAAAAAAAGTGAGTGTTAGAGCAAACTGCTTGGACCTCAAGAGACAAAAAACTGCCAGCCATGTTGATGGTACAGACAGTTCTTTGTCAGTATGCCAAATCTGCTGTAATGACTGCTAATTACCAATAGGTAAATTAATAATCATTGTTTGTGTGGTATTTTTGTCAAGGCATTATCCTATTGGTGTTCTATTTGATCTTCATGGATCATCTGCATCTTTGCCATGGAATCTAACTGTTCATTTCCAGGTATGGTACAGCAATACAATATTGTAATTATCAATTTTTCTTGATTATCATGATCAATACTTAGTAATATTAGTGTCACTGTAATCAAAAACCAGTAATTTTACTTTAGTAAATATTTACCTCAAATACATATTTGATATTTCACTGGTACAATGTATTGTTTTCTCTTTCTAGTTAATGTTGTTTTGCTTGACAAGTTTGCTAAATAAATGCAGATTTTGTAGTACATGATAAATGCATTTTATATTCATTCAGATTTTGTTTTTTATCCAACAGAAGTTTCCAAAGGATGAGCTGATTAGATGCCCTGGGAAGGAGGCAGTTGAATCTCACTTTATGTCAGCTGTAAAAGAGGTATAAGCCATTATCAGAGGTTACCTAACAATATGAGAAGTGAATATGGGGAAATTGATAACTCCATCCATGGCCATGAAAATGGTAGAGGTCTGCAGCTAAGTAGCAGTTTGACTGTATGATTRGGTTAAAAGCATTAGAAGTTATTTTCCATGTTTCCATTCTCTGTTAGAAACAGGCAGGATTGGTGGGTGAACATGTGAAAGCTTTTATAAAATAACAGCTCCTCGCTTGTTTCACTTTTGTAGAAGCACCAATCAATGTGCACATTATATAATAGATATTTTTATGAAAATTTGAAAGCTGGATATTATTTTCTTTGCATCTGCCTGTGTCAGTTTTTGACATGATTATTCATCATTATCATTGTATCATTGTTTGCTTCAGGCTGACAGTTTTAAACACAGATCCCAGRTTATCAATTCCATGCAGAAGAAGGATCACAAACAGCTTTGGCTTGGTCTTTGTAATGGTAAATATTCMCTGGGTCATTTCTTTATATCATTGGGTACAGATGATGTCATATCTTTTAGGGGTTAAAATCAATATCTTGTAAGTTGTCTAAAAAATGTTTTCTTGTGACCAATTTAGGTATATCTTATATAAATTAATGATTTTTTTGTTCATCACTAGATAAATTTGAGCAGTTCTGGGCTGTGAATCGACGTCTTATGGAACGAACAGGTGAAGATCCATACTTCAAATACATTCCKTTTAGAATTCACCAGGTATGTTTCTTGTATAGAATTTTGTGGTGTTCCCTTTCAYTTCTTATTCAATCAGTGTTTTTATTATTGTTTCTTTCTTTCTCTACGTTTTTCATTTTCATTCAATTTAATATCATTTTATAGATTGACAAACCATTCCGACAACATTTGTTTAGACCGATAGCAGATAATGGTAAGAGAAATTATTTGAAATATAATGATAAAGGTAGTATACCACTCATCCTCTCCGGACTTGTCAGTAACCACATTTGTCGAGTAGGATATATATTTATTTAATTCTTACAGAATTTTGCATGTCTTGAACCAGTGAAAGTAACACATCCTTGCTTTCACTATGTGTTAGAGGTAAAAAAATATTCTACGCCATAATTTACATTCATGTATAGTTATAAAACAGAATATTACATCATAATCTTATAGTGTTTGAAACCTTTCACTCGTTCCCCTATACATGTACGTGCACCCAAGTAATATCMTGTCTTTCTTAACTTTCAAAAATAGCTTGCCCGACTTCACGCACTAGGAGCGTCTAGTTCCACATAAATACAGGCTCATTCAAGCGGAGGTTAAAAGAAATGATAGGGTTAGGCAATTAGTAGCGACGGGTTCGAATCTTCATACTTGCTGTTAAAAATTATGTACCTAAGCGATCTTCTGTCTATGTTCGTCAGTGGCTGTGTATATGCACATCCAATAGGAGTGAAAATTAAACAATGAGCGACGTGAACTCGAACAACGATTGTGAGGACTCCTCGAGCGGTCAAGAATAGAGGACTACATGTCTCGCCCAAGTATTGCATGTTTATTTCAATACACATGACATTGCTGCACATTGCTGTATAAGTATTGCATGTTTATTGCAATACACATGACATTGCTGCACATTGCTGTAT